TAGCCGTCTTCGTAGTAGTAGCCGTCGTCGTAGTCGCCGTAGTCTTCGTAGTAGCCTCCATCATCGTTTCCGTAGTACACAACGTACGCCTGTTCTCTTCCGTGGCCAGAACGCGCGTGCCCCGGGCCTCTCTCTGCCCGTTCCCTCTCGGCACGCCCGTCGCTGCTGTGGCGTCCCGCGGGCCCACGACCCCCCGGGTGACGCCCCAGACGACCGCCAGGCCCACGTCCACGAAGAGGTCTCGGGGGGGGTGAGGCTTGACTCCAGCCACCGCCACCATGACCGGTGTGGTGCTGCTGCCCTTCTATCCTCACCCATCGCCCGCCACCGCGGCCTGGCCCCGGCGGCGGTCTACCCCCTCGCTGGCTACCGCCGCCACCGCGGCTGCCGCCGCCCGAGCGGCGTTCCTCGGCGCCCTCTCTCGAACGCGCGCGCCGCAGTTGCCGCTGGAGGCGACACTGCTTGTTGGTGTGAAGCTCGGATTGGTGGTAGCGGCAATATCCGCCGGGGTCGTCGTTGAACACGTCACTATTTTTCTTCTCTCGGTCACGATTTTGGCCTCCAGCTGCTGCCTGACCACCGTCTTGACCCCCGGATGCCCCCCCACTTCCCCCGCCGCGCCGGCCCATGCCGGACGCGGCGAGAGCGAGCTCCACCTCGGGCCTCTCCCCCTTGCTCCTCTCGCGCTCCATCTCCATGTGGGCGTCCCCCACCACAGTCTCAAGGGTACGCAACGTCAGGACATCATGGGCAAGCAGTATTCCTTTTTGCACGGCATACAACGAAGAGGGAAGGCCACGAGCAATGTTTTTGTTGGCATCTGTTTCATCCTTAATTGTGCCTACAGATGCGAGACGCAGGCGAAGGGCCTCTCAACGGGCAATGTAGTCCTGTGGACTCTCGGACTCTCTCACCTCCAACTCCTTCCAGTCCTGCTCTAACCTCAACTTTTCTGACTGCTTGTTCTCCTGATAAAATGCCGTCACGATTTTCCAGCCTTTTTGGGGACTCTCACACGCCAGAATCAAGCACTGAATCGGGGGATACAAAACCTTGCTAATCAGGATATCCCACAGTTTGAATGACTTGTCTACCACATCATTCCCAAAAAGTCTACGAAGGTCTCCTATATTCACACCCCTCTTTCCGACCTTGACCTCGACCTCCAGTTCCAACGCATCATGCACACCCACCCTCCTTCTGAAAATATGAAATCACATACTACGAAAAATATCAAACATCATATACAAATCTTGCTCATTCTTAACGCTACCAAGCCAAGGTTCTGTTTCTGAGCCAGAATTGACACGTAACGTGCCTGAGCGGGCAAAGTCCTGTTGTTCAGCGATGACCTCAGCTGTCGCCTTGGCCGCTTGCGCCACGATGTGTGCGACGCTGCTGGGGTCGTTGAAGGTAGCTGTTTTACCGTGGCTGGAAGGTTATGGCTGGCTGCCGGTAGGTGGGACTGGGTTGCCGGCTGATGGTGGTTGGGCGTAGGTGACTTCACCCTCGTTGATCCTGTTGGCTTCGAGTTCGGCTTGTACTCGTTGCTGGACGATCTCCTCCTCTTTTTGCTGTAGCTCGTCCCCGCTAAGGGCGGAGAGGTCGATGCCCTCCATGGTTTATAGTGTTGTGGGAGTCTACCGATTGCGCGTGACTGCACGACTCCCGGAAGGCTACGCCCGCGCGCAGGTACCGTGATATCGGCACACTGTGTGAAAGGTAGACTACGCGGGGTGCAGCAAGCACGTTCTGGACGTTGCTTTGGGGCACTGGGTAGTCGGCCGTGTTAGGCCGAGAGAGAAAGGTTGAGAGAGAGGTTGAGAGAGAGAGTTGGAGAGAGAGTGGGAGAAGGAAACTTGATTGGAGAGAGACGGTGGTGGTGATGGACAGAGAGGGATGTTGCATGTAGAATACGTGTAGAGGAGTAGCGAAATGGTGTTGGCACCGCGGAGCAGGTGGTGCGCAGCCGCCAGAGAGCTTTCTGTGCAACATTGCCTTCCACTCGACAGGGGCATCCCGTCCTGCGTGGACAAGAACAGGAGTTCGCGTCTCGCTTTCCGTCTTAAGGTACGTACATAGATGGGTGTGTAAACATGCGCTCGATGACCTACAGCAGCGATGGGTGCAAATGCGTGACTGTAGGGGCAGAGAAGGCTGACGACGCCAGGGTTTGACGTTGACTCGGAGACGGGGGTTCGGTTAACGATCGCAGCACTTCTCGCGTTTCACTCCTCTAGCGGAACACGAGAGACGCATTCCGCGCGGCCGACATACTGCACGACAGTCAGGGGAACCAATGTCATGGTTTGCGCCGCACACTACTGTCAATAGACACATACGTGAATCTATGCACCCCGCACATGCCGTCATCACAGTTTGCCCATGTTCACACGGACGACACCCTCCGTGCTACACCGCCAGTATTCTAGCCACGTATACTAATTCGTCGTAGAGAGCCACGCTGACTGCTCAGAGACACCACACTATTTTCCGAAATTGTTGATTTTTGATGCATCGAACGACGCTCGCCCGTGGTTGATCATCGGGGAAGATGCTTTAACCAGCAGCAAATATTAAAGGTGACGCAAAGGGGGCCGAGTTCGAAACAACGGACCACTCCAACCTCTCCAGCCACGGCTGATTGAGGCGTGATTCTCTTGGTTTGGGGCGGTCGTGTGTTTCAATAGCGTGCGATGGTTGTGAATCTCTTCTGTGAGTAGCGTGACGAGCTGTGTAATCCGCCAACAGATTCATTCGTCAAGCCTGTCAACAGAAACGTACGTACAGCAGTAGATCCGACATTTTCGCTGCCTGGAGAGATTGTCTGAATCGCTAGTCCTCATCATAAGTGCACGAGGAGATATATCATCGCGGCTACGCATCTTCGTCACCCAGCGACGTCAAGCACTCCTCGACGCGCGCGCGGAAATGGGTAAGCCGGTGGAACGCGCTGAAAGTTGCAACCGTTGTCGAACTACGCTGTTCGCCGACGAGTCTACTGTATGTGGAGAGAAAAACGGAAAGTATGTTCTTCTACTACTACCACCCGTGCCGTCCATTCTCCCTACACTCTACACATCCCATCATCCATTCGCACAAACCTTTCGTAATGAATCTCGGGTGTGCAAGGCGTGCAATTATTTGCCGTTCCAGTATTGCGTCATTGAATGTCGAAGACGGAGAAAACAGATACAGATGTTTGGTGACCATCTCTTGTCCGCCCACGGAACGTGAGCCACGTTACATATTGTTTTCTACATAATATAACGTAATACAATCAATCGTCTCGACTACACACCATGGTATATACTGCTGTAATTGGTGTTCTGTACTTCATATTTAGTGCAGTTGGGGCAATCTCCTACACTACTGGCAGATTTCTTAAGCCGCCCATGGGTGGGCCCGTGGGCGGCCCATGAACTGCCCACGACGTACGCACCGTCGGCACGTCAAGCTAGAGTTCCTGACCGGCACATCAACCTAAAACTAAGCCACCTAGCGCCAACCTAGTGCCTAATGGTGTGGGCTTGGGGTTGGCCGTTCCACAGTAGACTAGTGCCCGTTCCAACGCGGATGATCTTGATTAGGAGTACACTATTGTACAGTTCCTGTTGAATAGCAGTTAATGGCCATGGGCACCCACTGACTACCCACGGGCTTGCCCGGGGGCAGTCGCCACGGGCTGCCCATGGGCATGCCCATGGGCTGCCCGTGGGCACTTGTAGCGAAACTGTAGAAAGTGTTCGAGGCCAGGCAGGGGTATCATAATGTTCTGTGCCATAGATGAGCAACGCGTACGTAACAGAAGCTGCGATGAGCAACATCTACCTCTGAAGTAGAAGATTCGAATACCAACATTCGGCACAAGGACAAAGGTATAGTCTACAGTCATATCATCAAGTTCTCATAGATATGAAGGAAATTTTCCTGCCGTGCCAAGGACGCGCGCGAAACGGCGAATTCTAATAACGGCAAAATGAAGATTGCAGTCTCTTGAAGTTACAACGGACGGTGGTGGTGTATTGTATCACTTGGTGCCGTTGACGGACATGAAGCGACAACATAGCGACTTCGACTTCGTTGAATCCAATTATCTTCTCGCGCGACTACTGGTGAATGCTTTTTGACATGTTTCACTTCGATCCTTACGGTAGCTTATTTCGTAGAACGAGATATGGATAAACGAAGTATTTCCTGAGGCATTTCGACAACGACCAAATCGGGAAGCGAAACAGGCAGGAATGATTGAGTCTTTGTTTAATACTGGTAGTTGAATTCGACACCTGCTGTTACGGCGGCCGAGTACGCCAGGTTCCAAACCACAAGTCAATTGTTGATATCCCCTCCCATTGTGTATCTACGGCAACAATACACGCTGTCCACGTACGTGCTCATCGATTGGCGTCTCGTCTACGTACACGGAACAGCCAATGAAGCAATGTGCAGCAAACACGACAAGTCGATGAGACGCTTCATTGTGAAGTTGGGTCCGGTCGTGTCAACCCGCGGCACACTCACGCATGTTCGGGAAATTTACCTCCACCAATACACACTTTTCACCGTTGCATTCAAGAATGTCCATGTTATTCCTTCCACGTCCTACTCACACCTCTACCTACCTTCGGGTTGGGATATCGGCCCCACCGCCCACTGGCGGCGGCGTGTCCCTTCAATAACCTACATAGTGAAGCATTTCAGGATATCGCAGGTGTCTCCCCAAGTCCGCTTGGCTTTCTACGATGGCGAGAGTTGTTTTTTTTTATTCGTGGCGGTCGACCGCAAAGGGATCGTGCTGTGAACGGGTGCACCCGGATCACGCCGTGTCTGAGGTGGAGAAGGTTTCATGTACCGTCTTTTGTGAGTGCGGATCAGCACGCGTTGTGGGTTACCTTGGCGGAAGATGAAGTAGTACAATATCTGCGCAGAGTGTTGCACGTTTCGTTCGCTGGAGGCTCAGGCTAAGGCAAGATGTTCGTTGGCTAAGTCGGTGGAGAGCCCGTGATGGCCCTTTGGTTGCGGGGAGGAGGCTGTCTCTGTCGATGATGCTTCGGTGTCTTGTGTTCGTTGACCGCAAAAAAGCGGTTTACCAATGAAAATGTGTTTGTTGAAGACAAGCAAAATATTCCACCAGGCTCTCCGCGCTACCGACGAGCGAATAAATCGATTTGTTATCACATCCCTAATGAATGATTAGTTACACGGTGGTGCGTTTTTGGCGTGTCCTTCACAACTCCTCAGACCCATACGGCTTTTTGTTCCTACTTTCCCTTCAGGAATCAGCGGATACTTCCTCCACATCCGACGATCCCGGCCAGGTGTCCTTGTTGCCAATTGCACGATACAGGGTCTGTACAGCAGGGACTACATTCTATATGGTGAGTGAGTGGGCGTTGCTGCTACTCGACTGTGCTCTGACTTACCGGCATACTTCTCACGAGTATCAGAGGCCATAGAAATTGCCTGATGTTTATGACGATTGTTACAAGACCCTGCAGCGGGAACCGTGAGGTTCCAGCAAACAATGATGCCGTCGCGTGCCGACCGTTACCGGTGGCAGCGGAGAGAGTCGAGTGAAAAGCGAGCGATTGACACATACTGTAGTTTAGGAGGACCGGCGGATGACAAGAAGTCAGAGTGCGGCAGCACTCTCCCCGCTCACGCTGATTGATAGTCGGAGGACGACAGTAGGAAGAACGGCTATGGCTGGACACACGCGGGCGTTGTTCAAGCTGCCAGACGGCCAACCGCTTGGCTGTCGCGTCCTTGACTGCTAGCAAGTCGCTTGACCCAGAGATCCTGCCGCTGTAATAGTCATTATTCAGGGCGATTCGTGGGTATCAAAAAATGGTCTACTGTATATAGAACCTATTGTGGGGTGTGCTGAAGTCCTTACATAACCCCCTTGATTCCGATTATGTAGATCAGTTCGAATATGGCGTGGTAGTCCACCGCGGTCTGGCCGCGTTGATGGCACGTGTCACCCGCTGGAGCCAAGCCAAGATGCCAAGCGTCACACACAAAATTACTATGAAGTTCAGCAGGCAGCGCCCTGCTGGTCTACGTAAGTTTCTCCGTACCTTCTGCAAGACATCGTTGGAATTATGCTCTCGTTATCATGAGGCATGTGTACCACCGTATGGACATACTTCCAACGAACGAATAACCTGGTCTATGTAGACTACAGTAATGGGGAAACAAATGGATGACAGTTTGCTGAGCTTCTTCTGCACATTCACCTTTCAACTGAAGCGAACCACTTTCCTGGTGTTAATTGTGTCGCTCACGTCAAGTATCCCTGGCCCTCGTGCCTTTGTGTGCCCAACCCAATTTCATCAGCAGGGCACTATGTCCTATCAATCAAAAATTATCCATATCCCGGATGGAGACTCACAGTAGAGACGGTGGTGCTTCATGGTCTACCGCGGCCCGTCCAACGAGCCCTGTACGCAGCGGCATTCAATGGCAGGTTTCCATGTGTTTCATGGGATCTGTACCCCATGACACAACCGCGCCATTTCAATCGCGAGCTAGAGCACTGAAACTGGTGTAGAGCATCAAGTTGCAGAATGGACAAGGAATTGTCATTGATTTGATCCTTGCCTCCTACCAATCAAAAACTCCACATCCGAGATGGTGACTCTGATCGATAATTCGGGTGGCTCAGTTGTGTGTGATGGGAGTGTAGAGCAGCTCGGCCATGACGGGCTGTAGGTGTAGGTCAAGTCGTACAGACGTGTGGAAAAACGTGTTGTAAATGTGTTGTATTCATCGGGGGCGTGCTTGAGCTCGTCATTCCATCACGGCATCAAGTCACTCATAACGCTCAAACACCCAAAACGAATCTTCATGAATCTCCACCAATCAACCACACTCCCAAGGAAAACATAAAGAAACTTCTTGATCCTCCGTAGTTCGTCACTGCAATACCTGCATATGTATACGCAATATACCACCCGCATGCTGTGCTACGAGTATATCGAATGGCCCCCCTGCCCGTATGCATCGTCGCAGCTCCGGGAAAATGTCATCGTCTAGTCATCCTTTTCATACCAGTTCATCCCAAAACACATGCAAAACCAAGAAAACGATAATTCAAAATCCCAAAATAGTACGTCCGAAAATAATCAATCGCATACCGACTCTTCCAAATCACCAAGAAAAGTCCCAAACACTAACCCTCCAAAACACTACCATCTCCACTTGACTCTCTCCATCTCTTGTTCAAACCTGTACATATCCTCTCTTTTCCACTCCGCGGCAAAACACGATTTGATCCCAAAACACTTATTTCAATGCAAATTCATCACAAAGTCTCTGTGCAACGCAAAAGATTCCTTGCTGATAGCCTTCGTCAAGAAATCTGCATGCTGAAACTCCGACGTCACATGCGTAATCGAAATCTCCTTCCTCTCTACCAGTTCCCTGATAAAGTGATGCCGTACATCGATGTGCTTCGAGTTTGAGTTCGTGATCGGGTTGTGCGCAATCTGAATCGCTCCCTGATTATCCTCGAAGACCGGGATGCACGGCATACCTGCATCTGGCAACATAAAACGCCAAACCTGCCTCAAGAAAAGCACTTCCTTCAAGACGTCGGCAATTGCCACATACTCTGCTTCCGTTGTGGAGAGCGTGACGCACTTCTGCGTCCTCGAAAACCAAGTCACACACCCACCCCCACACATCACTAGTCCTCCTGAGACCGACTTACGGTCTGCTGCCTTGCTTGCATAGTCGGCATCCACAAACACCTGCATGCTCATGCCAGTGACCACTCCCCTCTCAAATGTAATCCCCATCCAACTCGTCCTACGCACGTACCCTAAAATACCAAGTGCTGCCTTCCAGTGCACCATCTTGGGAGACGCGCAATACCGCGCTACTGCTCGTACTGCATTCGCGATGTCCGGCCTGGTTTGAGTGGCCAACCACATCAGAGATCCTACCAACTCGCGAAACGGGACATCAGCACACGCTTCGTTTTCGTCAAAGTCGGTGAGCTTCACGCTCACAGGCAAGGGCACACTCTTCCCCCACTCAACGCCGTACTCTGCAGCCAACTCTTCTGCAAACCTTTGCTGCGAGATCCTCAAAAGGCCTCTCTCTAGATCTCTCTGGTAAAAGCACGCGGAGTACCACCTCAACTCCCCAAAGTTTTTCACGGGGACCATCTCGTTGAGGTCACTGCCAAACTTGTCACACCTCTCCTTCTGCCCTACGGCAAAAATGTCATCAACGTGGACCACAATGATCATGATCACACATCCATCCTCCATCAATCGAAAAACACATGCATCCGCCAAACATTGCACAAATCCTAAAAGTAACAAACACCTCGTCAGGTGCGCATGCCATTGTCGTGATGCCTGCTTCAAACCGTACAGACTCTTGCATAGTTTCACGATCAGTCCAGATAACCTACCACAACCTTGCGGGAGACGCATGAAAACATCCTCTTCAAGTTCAGACTGCACAAATGCCTGCTGAATATCGAAATGGCACAAGTCAAGGTTCTGCTCACATGCCAATGCTGCCAACAAACGCACACTAGACACGGATACGGTGGGTGCAAACAATTCTCCAAAATCAATCGAAGCCCTCTGCATGTCCCCTCGCGCTACAAGTCGTGCCTTGAATTTCGTCGGCCATCCGTACTCGTCTGCCTTACAGTTGAATACCCACTTGGCGGTTGATGAAATTTCTACTGGTTGCTACACCGGACTTAAAGTACCTGCATCCAGCAGACCGAAAAACTCACGACCGACTGCATCATCCCACAACTCTGAATGTTGAGACCGCATGGCCTCCTTGAACGTTTTCGGCACTCGGAGGTCGCTGGCGAGGCAGTGAGGAAGGTCCGGCGTCTTGTCAGGAGGGCGCTTGGCACGAAGAGTGGCTTCCACATCCTCGTGGGTAGGGAACATTGCTGCGAACATGTGCAGGTCCCCCGGCCCCCCAGCTCCTGCGGCCCCCCCGCTCCCATGGCCTGCTAAACTCGTATCTTGCGGCTGTGGGGGAGCGGGAGGGGCGATTTTGGCGGACGGTGGCAGGTCTCGACGTCCTTGATCGACGGCTTCCCGGGTGGCGAGCGACGAGACGAGCGCATCCTTGCCCATCATCGACAGCAGCCCAAGGCGGTGTTGGAGAGCGGTGCCGCCACCTGACGGCGACGGCGGTTG